GATACACTTATATTCTATAGAAAGCATATTCAATGAAGAAAGAGCTGTCGCACGGCATGTTTTTGAGTAAAAACGCAATTGTCCCCTGCTATAGGTTCTCTCGGGGCATCCCAGTGGTTCTGAGAGCGGCCAATGTGGTCACTGATTTATTTGAAGTTTAATGAATGCCTATTCATGAAAAACCATGAAGAATGAGCTATCGCACGGCACGTTTTTGAGTTAAAACGAAATTGTCTCCTGCTACAGGTTCTCTCGGGGCATCCCAGTGGTTCTGAGAGCGGCCAATGTGGTAAATGATTCACTTTAAGGGGAGGTTTACTTGGATTTTTTCAAAAAAATTGATTTTTTTGCATAAAATGAAAGCTACAAGTGTGTAGAATATGTGGCCAAAATGATTTTACGATCCGAAACATATTTAGTCAGTTAATGCGCTTTGAGTGAACCTTTGTCATGCGCGCTGAGGGACGCAACAAAAACTTTAAACGCGTTTTTCTCGAAACCATATTTTTTGATAACAACTTAGAGCATAGGGCTTGAACAAATGATCCGATTTACAATCGGAAAATTGCGCTTTGAAGGATACTATTTTTTGTATGGCTTATACCTAAAATGAAAAAAAAATTGTTAGTTACTATTTTTTAAGCAAGGTCAAAGTGAGAAAAAAAGGGGTAAAAAAAGCACTAAATTTTCAAATGTCCATAATTTGGTCAATTTTTGTCGGATTTCGTTCTAGTTAGGTATAAGCCATAGGGAATATTATCAACTTTAACCAGAGGGTGTGCACTCGAAGTTCTGCAGCAAAACCTGACTGACACTCCTCCACGCGAGCCGGCATTTTGAGCCGCCATTTTGTTTTTTACCTTCAAAAAATTTCCAAGTATTCAGGAATAGTGGACAAATATAATTATCGAATCCGGAAGTTCGTATGTCTTTTCATTCTCCTGAAAAAAATTCCAAAGTTCAACTATTTTTCAGCCAAATCCAAGTAAACCTCCCCTTAAGTCTAAAGAAAGAATATTCATGAAAATCCATGAAGAAAGAGCTGTCGCACGGCATGTTTTTGAGTAAAACGCAATTGCCCCTACTACAGGTTCCCCCGGGGGTATCCCGTGATTCCGAGAGCTGCCAATGTGGACACTGATCCATTTGAAGATTAATGAATGCCTATTCATGAAAAAACCATGAAGAATGAGCTGTCGCACGGCATGTTTTGGTGTAAAAATGCAATTGTCTTCTGCTCCAGGTTCCCCCGGGGGCATACCGGAGGTCCCGAGAGCGGCCAATGTGGTCACTAATCCATTTAAAGTCGATCAAAAGCCTATTCATGAAAAAGCTTGCAGAAAAAGCTGTCGCACGGCATGTATTGGTGTAAAAACGCAATTGACCCCTGCTACAGGATCCCTCGAGGGTATCCCGTGATTCCAAGAGCGGCCAATGTGGTCAATGATTGATTTGAAGTTTATGGAAAGCCTATTCTTGAAAAACCATGAAGAATGAGCTGTCGCACGGCATGTTTTGAGTGATTAAATGATCTGCCCGCATTAAGAACCCTCCACCAGAACCGATTCCAGGGAAATGGCCATATCTCGGTTGATTATAAGCCGATTTTAGTTCTTGGCATATGATTAGCTTAAAAAATAGTTCTTCTTTCGTTGTATTTACTAAAAATATATATATTTAACCAGCATCATATGTAAAATTTCTCCAAAAATTTAGCAAATTAGACAAGCCCTCCGGAAACCCGGAATACCTCCGATATCCAGTGACCAGGATTATTTTCGTGACCACACCGTAATATGAGTGTACCCCATTAGGCATAAATACGTTAGGCATACGGACGTTAGGCATACGGACGTTAGGCATAATGGACGTTAGGCATAAAGTCATTAGGCATAATGGACGTTAGGCATAATATACGTTAGGCATAATGGACGTTAGGCATAAAATACCTTGCTGCTGTGCAACTCTAGAAACCTGCTTAACCTGTAAACCTGTAAACAATGCTTAAATTAGGCTTAGCGTTGAATAAAAAATGATACAAGTTAAACAAACATAGTTTATTTAATAAGCACAGTTTGGAATCCATTATTTATCATATCATAAGTGACGTATCTACATATTTACTTAGATCCATGATTAGTAGCGATAGTGGTTAAGTAATCTTACAATAAAAACTCAGCTTAGTTTTTAACTATATCTTGAAATCAATCGCATCTAGAAATAAAAAAATCACACATTTGTTGTAATATATTCTTACACACATATTGCAAAAGTCAAAGAAGAAAAGGTTTTCCTCAAAGAACAGCTCATGAAATAAAGAATGGTGAATTCTGTGATTTTTCATTCAATAACAAAAAAACAGCCAAGGTTGAATAAAATATGATGCCAAAGAACAGCTCATGAAATCAAGAATGGTTAATTATGTGGTTTTTCATTCAATAACAAAAAAACATACCTGCTGCTTCCAGGATTTCTTGCCATACTTTTCGATACAACGATTCTGATTTTGTTGTCATCAGAATGAAAACTAGCGGAACCGTCTGCTGATGTGAGGGAGCGATACTTCCATGAACAGTGACGAGTTGCCGAAACAAACAAGGAACCGTGGCAAACGTACCATCTGTAACCCAATACTTTGCCTGTCCAAGACGTCGTTCATGAGTTCCAAAAATTAAGGCTCTTTCATTATTGTCACCGAAGTCAACAATCAATAGACGGTCTCCATTATCATCCTTCTGGAATTCATCCGGTAGATTATGCCTAACGTCCATTATGCCTAACGTCCTTTATGCCCAACGTCCATTATGCCTATCGTACATTATGCCTAACGTCCGTATGCCTAACGACCGTATGCGTAACGTCCGTATGCCTAACGACCGTATGCCTAACGTCGTGCACCCCCGTAATATAATATTAGTTTTCCAATCAAATGCTTTTAGAAGATTTAAAATCGGATCATATTTGACGAAGTTACAACACTCCAAACTTGACCAAAAACTTGCTTATCCTAGTTATTTTGAGTAACCCCTGAGTGTAGGGGAAATGGCTCTAATGTTGGCCTATGGATCTAAGATTGGGTCCACGCTAAAAATCTGCTATTTATCAATTTTATTTATATGAACGGGTCATTGGGACGGTACTAATGGATATTTTTGTTCGCCATTGAAAATCTAGTCAATTGCTGAATTTATGTATGGGCCTAAACAAGGGGCATTTAGACCGACATTACATCCATGACCCCTATTTGCAATAAGTAAATTACAGCACATGCAAACACATTAAAATCCATTGTGGCTCTACTTCAACCATCCTCGTAAAGAGTTAGAGCCGACTGTCCTATCGCAATTATATTAAAATTAATTATCGCGCTCTATACTGCAGTGACGTCATCATTGTGATCGTTATCACTAACTGATATCGGTTCCGTAGTAGTAGGGTTTAGATCTAATGTCTTGCCTCTATTTTTCGAGTGGATTTTTTTTTTTCTCACAAAATGGAATGTTTTCACTGCAGATGACTTCTAAATTTATTTACCTTTAAGATTTGACAAAGAGAACCAAATTGTTGAGATATTGTCAAAAATCTAACATTGCTTCTTGACCCCAAACTCAGCCTACAGATTCTAAATTCGGCCTAACGCCGAAAACTTTTTTGAGAATAATGGGTGCATACATTCATATCACGTGTTCTCATTGACTTCGTTCGGTAGATTTTGAACTAAAGTATCGTACTAAACGCATAATTGACTTGTTAACTCTGAAATCATGGATTTATGTGATGTTTTCTTCTCGATAGTCCAAAAATGAGAGATTAGGCCGAAATAGTTCTCTACCCATTCCCTTCTTTGTAAGAAGGGTAAAGCTGATCAAGCTATGGAAAATGGCAGATTGATCATGCATCGTTTTAGTTCTAGTGATTCTGCCATTTACAGTCTATGAATCTCTCTCTAGTTCAAATAGCATTCAAAAACAGTCAAACGTAAGTAGCTAATAGGTCTTTGAATTTCAGTGGAACTAATCTTAATCGTAAAGCAAAAAACCTAAATGATTCCAAAAATCGTGCACGAACCCCTCGTAAAACTGCGGAACCAAAATCAAAACAAAGCATTCAGAAGTAATCAATTTCACAGCTCGTCGAAACAGATGTTGATTCTCGACCGTGGATTTTTATTTTTCGCGCATCCTTCCGTGGCGCGTGCTCGCACGGTCGTTGGATTTAGATTTACGACCGTTTTACCGCGTGTAATTGACTGGCGAATGGAATTTCACTGCGAAACCCGGCGGACACATTTCCAGTCGTGAGGGAATTTTTCGGTCATCGGGTCAGGTGGTGTCAGTTGTTTGCTTTTTCAGTATCAAGATCATTTGAATTTTGCATTTTCCTCATACACACTTAGAAATTATTTCCGACTTCGGTTATTTTTTATTGTCAGCCTTGTTCAAACAATCGAGTCATGCCATGGTGGTTTCCTTGTGATTTTTACCGAACAGTTCAGCCGTTGAAAGTTCGTTGAAAATGACCGAAGTCGGTAATCATTTCCAAGTGTAAAGTCATTTTGTGCCGTCTAACACTGTACACCGATCATAACTACTTACCTCGATATGTACTCTTTTCTAGCCACCAGTAACAATCAGAACACCAATAAGCTTCCCATTCGGTCATTACTCTACTCCCAGCTCTATCGGGAGAAATATTTCACTCGACGGCTACTGCAATCTGCTTACAATCGTCCCGCAAACATGCGACCAGTTCGCTCCATTTCGATCGCATCCGGTAAGGTTCACTATCTCTGCTTGCTCTACTGTGCATGAATAGTCGTCCCCGACTGACCGCTGTCATCTATTACTGTAGAAAACCTTCCCGATATCTAGTGATCCATGCTCGTTTACCAAATCAAAATGTATTCCACAGCACTCTAGGATAGTTCCACTCCGCCACACTACCGCGACTGATCGAAAATGCTTCGATGTGTTACTAATTCAGTTTTCTCCCATCCGTAGGAAACTCAACCTTCGACTTTGAACTGGAGGACTTGGCCGCTCCACCGCCACCACTGTCCCTGTCGGCACCGGAGCTTAACGTGGAACCACCACCGACACCGCGGATGCGTCCGGCGGTGAGTTCAACGGAGTTGCTCTACGAACGGGCAATGGCACGTTTTTATCAAGCCGTTGCCATGGAGGAATCGGAGAACCAGCGAAAGGAAGCCGACCGTAGGCGGAGCATGAGTGCTGCCGTGCCACAACCACAACAACAACAGCAGCAGGACACCGTTGCTGCGGTGAATCGGTTGGCTGACCGCCGGAGTAGTCTTCGCCGGCGTCTGTCCGGGGATAAGGAAGCCATCGTTAAGCAGTCTAGTTTTGAATCGCAACATTCCAGTGCCGTGGATGATGTGATACCCGAGGAAAAGGAAGATGATCCGATAGAAGAGCAGAAGGAGGAACATCCGCAAGAAGCGGGAGCAGTGGGAAAGGTCGAGGAAGTGATGGAGGATTTGGACGAACAGTTGTCGATCTCTTCGTCGATGGATTCGATGCTGGAAGAGCTGAAGCGAAGGGAGTCTGCACGGTCCAGCCGGTCGAGAATTATGAGCGATGAGGATGAGATGGAGACATATCATCCTGGGCCGAGAGTGATGTCCCCTTACCGGAATCCGGATCCGAGTCAAGCGATTGAGGTTCTAACGAAACCACTGCCCATGCCGGATCCGAACTTTGTTCCGAAACCTATTTTGAAACGACCATCAACGGAAATCCTAACAAAGGACGATAAGGAGAAAAAGGTTGCTCCGAGTAAGCCAGAGCGAAAGAACTTGACGAACGTTTTCGATCGAAAGTCCCCCGCTAAGGAGGAGCAAAAACAGATTCAAATTCAGACACCACAGCCGGAGCTGCAAAAGGAGAAGACTCCTGAGGTTGAAGAGAAGAAGCCAGAGTCTCCAATAAGCGAAAAGCAGAGTCCAACGGAGCGGGATATCACTACGGCAATCAAGTCGGAAGCTGTTCGCCAGAGGCGACTGGAGTCCAGGCAAAATTCGATCGAAGAATCCAGAGCCGTTGCCGATTTCTACAGCGAAATTGTTCAACAGGTTGAAACTGCTAAGAAACCCCGTCAGATACCACTTTACTTGAATCCGGATGAAGTTCGCAAACTGAACGAACGGGGACGATCTCGTGATTCTTCATACGATCGAATGGCAAGGTCTCGCTCTGGATCAATGTCTCCGCTGCCAGTGGAAGATGTGTACCGACTTCCAAAGTCCCGCTCACCTTCACTAACATCAGAGCAGATTGTTAGCAAAGGCAAGCCAGCCAGAGAAAGCCGGATCCTTCGGCAACGATCGGTCTCGATCGATGGCGATTCCAGTCGACCATCGTCTGCTATGAAAGAGCAGCCACCATCACCAGCGATGGCAACTGCTCGACCAGAAACTGCATTTAATGCTAGCGCAGTAAGCGAGCAACCGACCAGAAGAAGCCGTCCCCTGCGTGAATCAACGGCGATCGCTAAGAAGAGGAACGTTTCTCAGACACGCTCCCGTAGTAGTTCAGGTGTTCGCGATGGAGCAACTGCTCCGGAGAAAACACCAATGGACGTGGCTCGGCGCGCCAGACTCCGTAGTGCTTCCAAGTCCCCGGCAGCTCTGCAGCGAACGCCAGTAGTTCCACAAACTCCAGAACCACCAAAACCATCATCAGCTCCACCAACTCCACCAGTTCGCCCTATAACTCCAGTGGCTCCTCCGGTTACTACACCAGATCAACGATCCCAATCACAAGCTCCGGAGCTATCCCCCGAAGATGCTTCCTTCAAATCCAGCATATCCTACCTGACGGACGTGGCCCTGTTTGCCCTCGCCTGTTGGCTGTATCTCTTCAAGAATCCCAAGCTGGCAATTCCGATCATCGTACTGATCATGTATCGCCACATTAGCGATGCAATCCGGAACCGGATGCCACCGTGGATGAAACGATCGCTTAGCTAATCGAACCGCGGCGGCTGGGTTGGGCTGGGAAGCAATCCAATGAAAGACATAATCTCAATAGCAGAGCAAACCTGAAGCAGAGGGATATTTTTAGCAGGTCTGAATAATCTCGTTCTCTTATTGGAAATTTAATCCCTCTATCCATCTCTGTTTCTTTTTCGCTAGAGGAGGCACGAAACGATATTTTCTTGCACTCGCACTTTGTTTATCGAGGAAGATTGTTTACTGTTTTCATTTTCGTCACACTAGATAGGCAAAAGACGGGAACACTCGGGAACGCGACCAAAGATTAGAGAGAACTAGCTGGCAGCTGTCAAATCTGGCAGCTTCCGACTCCATTCGAGGAATGGAACCAATCGAACTATTTTGATTAGTAAATTAGAAAATTTTACACAGAAAAAAAATCGAAAAACTATTGCACATTAACATTACCAAGGAATCGCACTCGTCCATGTTTGCTTGGATTCACGCCGCCATATTTGTTTACATGTCGAAACATGTTACGTCATTAAGTTAAAATCACACACACACACCCGTACATCGACATAATCTTAAACGTTAATCCATACTTAAGTCAAAACTATGTTTAATCATTTGTTTTTGTTATAGCTTTTCATTGTTTAATGTGTAAAAAAAAAAATAAAAAAAAAAAGAATACGTACACCAACACACAAGCCGAACCAAAGAATAAAAATTATCGAAAAAAAAATACTTTTCAATGAAAATGCACCGCACACAAACACTTTCGAACATTTTTTGTATTTTTAACCACAGTATGAATTGAACATAGAAGAAAAAAATCACGTTGTTGTATTTTTGGTGCCTGAGGCATTCATTCGGGCCAAAAACCTAGAAATAATCATAAACAATTATCGTTGTATATTTTTGCAGAATACAGACATGGTAAAAAGAAACATATTGGAAGAAAACTCGAAGAAAGGGAAAGCGAGGTAATAAATTTGTTCTTTAAATAAATAAATAAAAAAAAAAACTACACAACACCGATCGATGGGTTTGGCTTTGTTTCGGTTTTCTTGGTGAAAGAAATTCATTGCAACCGTCGTCTCCTATAGGGGCAGTCGTCTGTCAAACGACTTGTATCTCTGTCGTCACTATAATAGGTCAACAAGTCATGAATATCTTTAAATGTAGCATGCATCAAGTACGTGACGCTAAATTCTGGACATAATGCTCCCTCCCCTCCACATCCACCTTTCGTCACGGTTTTCCTACTTCATATTTATTTTATTTGATACAATGATAATTAAGTTTTACGTCTTACATCTAAAGTTGTTATATCCAAAAATCCAGATTAGCCACACATTTCTTACTCCCCCTTGCCTTATGAACGTGACGTACTCAATGGATCGCTCTTTGTCGTCCTTCTTCGTTGATTAGCTGAACATTATTAATTCAAGAGTGAATTGTCAAATAGCCGTATCTGCTTTCGTAAGCAAAGATTCAAACGTCAATTTGTCGAAACTCTTAGCTCGACCACGCAAATTAACACCACCCATCAGAGGGAAGCAACATTTCTACAAGCATTTGAAAGTTTACTCATGATCCTGACCAACAATGGAAAAGGGCCCATCAGCTTTTGTATTGATGGCATCGGAATGAAATTCAAAAAAATTTCCCATACCGGGAATCGAACCCGGGCCTTCTGGGTGAAAGCCAGATATCCTAGCCACTAGACCATATGGGACACCTATGGAAATGAATCCTTTTTGCAATCAGATTAGTTAAACGGTGGTTTCTTGCTTTCAAAATGGCCTCTAATAGTTTGTTACCATTTAAATAGTTAGTGGAATAATTTAAGTCGATAAACAATGTAAATTCAAACAAATGTATGAATCCAGCATAAGAAAGGTGCACTAAAATGAAACGAGTTATTTTTAGATCAACATCATCTTCTTACGTGTGGGGAGTGATATTGCTATAATCGCAGGCAAAAGCTTTATAGCGCACCAAAGCTAACTGCGCGAATGAACAAAGCTCGATAATTGGTGCTTTTTAGCTCTTAGCTGTTCTCGATTGAAAGGAATCAGTTAGCTTTTTTGCTTAAGATCATTTGTTTCGTGCTATTTGTGGATGAACATTTCAAAAGGTTCTATTTCTATTTGTACGGTCGTTCAGACCAGTTCAAAATTGAGTCGAGTTGGCTCAATTTTCGGTAGACGTGGATTTACTAAACACAAGATGAATTTTCTGGGCTTTTCCAAGAAAATATAACGAAAATCGATAGAGATTTCACTCAATTTATTAGTATACTACTAGACTGAGTGAAATTTTCATGGATTTTTTTTCATATTCGAGAAGTTTTTCCAGGTTTTCCACACGACCAATGAGATCAACGGTATGGCAGTGCAGTGATTTGGATGAATATTTTTTGAGTGTTATGTCTGCTTGTCATATCATATCTTCACTATCGCATCTTCATCTTCGGGTAATCCACGAAAGTACTTGCATTTTTCTCAGGCACTAACGGTGTTTTACGGTATGGTGCAGAAAGTATCCCAATTTTTGCAATGTAAACGCGCTTTACTCATTTCATTTATACAGCCTCAAGCTGTATTCAAAATGTTATACGATGTGAGGAAACCTTTACTCAACCTCTAAAACAAGCAAATCTGGTGAACATAGACAGCTACTTATGGCTGTTGAGACGGTTGGAACAAGTTCTTATTGCAATTTCCATTTACGCTTCTATAAACAGCTGTTATCCTACTGCTTTAGTTGTGTGCACTTGAAAGGCGCTTATCAACCTTTTCCCGGTTATGCAATAATCACTACACAAAGCTTTCTCTGGAAGCCGGTTTAAATATTATTTACGCTTATTTGTTGGAGGAATTGATTGAGTCTATTTCGTTGTGAGAATCAAATTAATCGAAATTAGTTATAAACACACACATCAATTTGCCATGCACCTCGGAGAACCTGGAATCGATCTCGAGACGATCGTATTGGCAAACCTTGACACTACCAACTTCGTTACGCCAACACTTTGAACTGACGTAAACAAATATACACGACTCTACAATAATACCGTTCAGTAGAGGCGTTATAATAGTGCACATGAATCACTTATCTCGACTAGTTTGAACAGCTTTGTAAAGAAGCAGAGTAAAAGCTGTAAAACTGCACACGTCTTAAAATAAACCTAGTTGACTGTAAAAATGCTTCCAAAGTAGCGCTAACACAGTTTATTCACTGAGTACAGGTTGTTTAGCTGTTGAAAAAGCACTTTTGATGTTTATGTTATTCAGCAAGAGTGGTTCGTTGTATAGAAGGCATCCAATGAGTAATATATTCACTTGATTAGCTTTGTTTTGCAGTTACAAGTTGAAAGTTGATTAATATTTGGATAGAAGAGCATTTATTGGCTGCTGTTATACAGTGCAACTGACAAATTGAATAATGGTTGTGAAAAAGTTGAGCAAACGCTCTCCAAAACTATTTTGCTAGCTTCTGCTTGTAGTTGTATATGCAGCTTTGTTTCAGCTACTTTACAGCACAACTCTGGAAAAGTCGGCTTACAAAGCTGAAAATGATAGTTGGGATTATTTTGTATTATTTTATACATTATTTTCACACAGCAACTCGCAGCAAAAGCAAAAAAGCAAGAACGGGAACAGATCCAAAGTCTATGAATCAATCAATCCAACGATGCACAGGGTTGTCTAACACAATTTTTGCTAAAGTGAGTTGAATATTATAACTATATGAGTTGAAACTATATGAACTATCGCGTATTTCTGTTGTTCATTACATACCAAATGAAATTCAAGAACGTAATTTCATTTGAATAGCTTGTTTAACCAGGGCTTAAGCAATCGTCACGTCGGTCATAGCTTGTTATGACTGCCTGAACCATGCGTAAAGAGCAAATCGAAACATTGAACGTCGCGTGAAAGTGGAAGTTAATGAAGGCCTAAGTACTCTTTCGTAGCTTTTACTTTTAGGATTTGAAAGATCGTCGGTTGCAGTGGCTTGCTTACTGAGCAGAAAAACGCGGTCCCAGGTCCTTTCATATTAAAAATGTATGGTCAGATCGCCTGTTAGTCGTAAAACTTTTCGTTGTCGTCGGTGCCGGGTTTGATTAGTTATAACAACTTGAGCAACGCTATTTATTTATTTATTTATTTGTAGTTTGTTACAGTCAACAGGTTAAAATACCCAAATGACAATTAAAACTTAGAACTATCGCAGTATTGCTACTGTGACATAAATCTCAAGAAATTCTGCCTATTGGACGCACGTGAAAAACTAAAGTCAAATACATGTTGACAATGATTGAACACACGGCACATGCTACGAACTGGCTCATTCAAACCATAATTTGTCCTGGAAGTATCGATGAACAAAAAGGCGTGTGTACGTAGCTGACGTCTCCTAATGTTTATGTTTAGCTGTGTAAGTAGCGAAGGGCAGTCGATGAGAGACGTTAACAGATCACTGACAAAGCAAGCTTTTGCAACATCACGTCTAACACTGAGTAGGTCCAGATGAATGAGTTTGCAACGACTCTCGTAACTAGGAAGATCCAGACGGTCAGTCCAGGGAAGGTGTCGTAGAGCATAACGGATGAATTTCCGTTGAATCTTCTCAACGCGTTGAATTCCATTTTGGTAGTATGGACTCCAAACAACGGAGGAGTATTCAAGTATGGGTCGCACCAAGCTGCAGTACAAGGCCTTTAAGCAGTATACATCTTTGAAGTGCTTGGCAAAGCGAAATATGAAGCCTAGCTGGGAAGATGCTTTCGAGATGATGTATGTCAGATGAGCGTTAAACGTTAGCTTCGAGTCCAAAAGCACTCCCAGGTCTTTAACTAAGGATTCTCGTGCTAGAGACACTCCGGACAAGCTGTAGTTATGGATGAGCGGTGAACGTTTGCGAGTGAAGGAAATCACTGAGCACTTGGATGTGTTTAATACCATACGATTTCTTCTGCACCAATCAGCAAACGTTTCGAACTGATGTTGTAAGAACTCGGCATCGTCTAGTTTCTCGATGATCGCATAAATCTTGAAGTCGTCTGCATAGGATTTCTTGTGACACCTTAGAACTGAGTTGACGTCGTTCATAAACAACAAAAACAGAAATGGCCCCAGATGACTTCCTTGCGGTACACCGGATGTAACAGGAAACGAAGTTGAAAACTGGTTGCCGAGCCGTACACGCATGTTACGCCCCATCAGATATGAACGTAGCCATTTGAGTAGCCTAGCATCAGCGCCTAATTTATCATACTTGGCCAGAGCGATTTCGTGGTTCATCTTGTCAAAAGCTGCTGACAAATCCATGTAGATTGCGTCAATTTGGCAGCCACGCTCTATCGAGCGAGCAAGAAATGAAGTGAACGTGGTTAAGTTTGTGGTAGTAGAGCGCTTGGGCATAAAGCCGTGTTGATCTTCCGAGATGTAGTGCGAGCAGCCGTGTGAAAGGAAGTCCAGAACAATCAGCTCGAAGAGTTTTGAGGTTGCACATAGAGCGGCTATGCCACGGTAGTTTGAAACTGTTTGCTTACAACCTTTCTTATGTACAGGAAACACGTACGATTCCTTCCAAATAGTCGGGAACACGCCTGATTCCAATGAGAGGTTGAACACAGTAGCGAGAGGTGCTGAAAGAGAGTGGATGCATTTATTCAGCACTATAGACGGGATACCGTCTGGGCCGACTCCGGTAGTATTTTTCAATCGTCTGCTAGCGGAAAGCACCGTGTCACTTGATATCGGAGGAAGTTCACCAAGCGGAGGAAGTACAGGCACATTACTCACGGCATCAACAATATCCTGCGGGCTAGTTGGGTCATTGCAAAAAACTCCGCTAAATTGTTTCCTAAACAAGTCAGCGATGTCGTCAAGGGCAGAAGCTTCTGTGTCACCATTACGCATAGTGGAGGGAAGTCCCACTTCTTTCCGCTGGCCATCTACGTATTTCCAAAAGCTTTTAGGATTGAGTTTGAGACTTCGCTGCAACCTCTCTTGATAAGA